TGCTTGGCCTTCCAAAAGAGGACACAACTAGAAATCAGTGGTTAAGTTGTATTTACAACACTGTTCCAGAACGCCTATTCGAGCCGTTCATGCCAGACTGGGGAGAGAGGTGTTGTAATAATGTAAAATATGTGAAAAATAATGTGTTTTTCGAACAACCTAGTATGAGAGCCTGTTCTAGTACACCCCCAAAACAAAATCAAGACTTTGTAAAAGAGCATAATAGAACCCCTTTAAAGGGGTCATATGATGCGATTTAAAGTTTTCCTTTCTCTTTGGAGTGTTACAACCTGTTTGTGAATAGGTAAGATCCCTAAAGTTGCAAAGACTAAAGTCTCAAACCCAAAGAGATATTCTATTTAAAAGTTAAGACTCGTCCACGCCCTCCTAAAACACCTTGTTTAAACACGCCCCCACATGTCTATGTCACTGTGTAGGAAGATTTGCATAGCACCACCCAAATGTTCACGCTAAGAAAGAAGGCGTAACTTTTGATTCTCGCTGTAGTATTGTTGCTGCCGCTGCCGCTGCCGCCGCCGCCGCCATGACGCTGTGTGTTTCGTTGCGAAAGCGAAAATATTTTGCTTGGCCTTCCAAAAGAGGACACAACTAGAAATCAGTGGTTAAGTTGTATTTACAACACTGTTCCAGAACGCATTTTACGGAGGACTGTTTCCTGAATCTGGGAGAGTAGCCTATAATGCCAGCTGTTCTGACTCACAGACTGTAAGTAAGTATGTTTTCATATTTAAATAATTTGCCACTGATGATTCAAATGCGAGTTTTGAGCAATGTAGAGTAGCATTTGTAATTTCTCTGATCACAAATGCAGACATGGTTTTATGTTTATGCGGCGCGATGCAACGCAACGCATAAAAAGACAGTATAAGTAATTATAATCAGTAAATATGTCCCCACTGGATGCAACAAATGCCTCGTTTATAATGGGTTTTATTGTTTTTGTCTCGTCGCACCGGGACACGGCATCACAGTATGGTAAGGGGCATAACATTTCCGTCAGATGCTTGAGGTATTCAGCCAATCACAACGCACTGGATAACTGGCCAATCAGAGCACACCTCGCTTTTCAGACCGATGAGCTTTGTAAAAATTGACACGTTTCAGAAAGGCGGGGCATAGAGGAGAAACACTAATGTACAGTATGTGGAAAATAATGTTTTTTGAACCTTAAACCGCATAAACACAATTCATTACACCAAATACACAAAACTTTTTTAGCAACGTCATATGACCCCTTTAAGTAAAGATCATGTTCCATGAAGATATTTTGTAAATTTCCTACCGTAAATATATAAAAAATGTATTATCATTAGTAACATGCATTGCTAAGGACTTCATCTGGACAACTTTAAAGGCGATTTTCTCAATATTTTGATTTTTTTGCACCCTAAGATTCCATTTTTTCAAATAGTTGTATCTCAGCCAAATATTGTCCTATCCTAACAAACCATACATCAATGGAAAGCTTATTTATTCAGATGATGTTGAAATCTCACTTTCACAAAATTGACCCTTATGACTGATTTTGTAGTCCAGGGTCACATGTACCTTTCACATAATACATCTTTCCAAAATCAGGAACTGTTCTAACACCAACTGGTGTGGCAACTGAGGAAAAAACACAGAGCTCACACAATTTATTTAATCAGTTTTTCTATAACTAAGAAAAAACCGTATACTCTTGCATACTTAGTAGGTTATTTGGATGATCTAGTGTTAAAAACATTACAGGAAATGTGCCGGACAATTAAATCACGGGGTGCAGTAGAGTAGCCAGCTATTTATCTAACTATAATAAGGTCTGTTTGATTTTGATCCTTGACAATATTCCAGATGAAAAGATCAATCTCCTAAATATCTTAAGAACATACTAAATTTATACAGATGGAAAGACTAGTGGCATGATTGCTGCCTTTATAGAAAATGTTCTACTTTCCACTTCAGTCCTAACTAATTCATTTTGTTCAAGTGCTGTCTTATTAAAGCCAAAATGTATATGAAATATTTAGTCAATATCGAACTTTGAATAAAATGGAGCGTCCCATTTGTTGGCATTCACTGCGCTATATCTTCATACTCTGAAGCCATATTGCTGACGATTCCGGAATTTATTTTAGCAAATAAATGCTATTTTCACGGTGTAATATACATACAATAAGCATCAAATGGTTATTCATATACGTAAATATACATGACCGTAAAGGCAAGAGAAAGCATTGTAGATGAGATGAGTAAAATTAATGAAACTTTACCGTCACTGGTCTCCTCCGCCATGCTTGAAATTTACAGGCACACCCAGTTGGAAATCGAAACTGAAATGGAAGATGGGAAGTAACTGTGCAAAAATGTTTGATACTGCCATAGCGGAAAAAATTTAGGCCAAGTTAAATAAAGAAGCAAATAAATGCAATAACATTTAACATTTCAATTATACAGAATGTCTCTATCATTTTATATATTTATTTTTAGTTCACCCTAATGCAAGTAAAAATAAACACTGGTTTCAAAACAGATTATTTAATAATCTGACAAAAAATATATACAATAAAGCAATGACTTGATAAAATATATTTTTTTGTAAAAACTGATGCAATGGGCATTTATTTAAAGACAAAATGTGTGGTCCATGTCACCATGAGACCACAAGCAGAAAGATGAAAATACTATTCTCATAAGAGGACAGTTTAAGTTAGACAATGAATTCCCTCCCCCAGATTTCATGACTCTAGCAAATTTGGCAACATAAAGAAATGTGTGTGAGGACTATTAAGGTAGGGTGATCTCATGGGTGATTCTGTCCTTTACAGATTGCTACTGTAGTTGGAGGTGAATGGAGTTAAGTCAGTTAGGTCATGTCATACACCATGACGTGTTCTAGAATTGGTTCAAAATGTAAAAACATGTTTGATATCCCCAGACAAGATGGAATCATAGTTTGAAACTAAGGCCCTGCTTACACTAGTGTGTTTTCAGTACAGTTGCGTTTTCACTGCGTTTTTAGAAACGTTCTCTGTCCACACTACACAACTGAAAACACATGTCACATGACCATTCATGCAGGTACAGCCATAGATATGTATAGATGCCCCATTCGACAGCTCCAGGCATGTAGATGCAGCCGCCATCTTGGAACGGTCAACTTGACGTCATTCACCATACTGTACCACTTCCTATAGCCACAAAAAAATAAATAGGGCTGCACAACTAATCAAAATGAAATTGAAATCACTAAAGACTGAATTTTAGTCGGATACATTAACATTTTTGTGAACAGTTTTCAGCATTTTATCAGATTTGTAATGAGAAGCGTTTATAAATCAAAAGAGCAAATAATTATTTTCAACCAAAGTGAAAGCTTGAGGGTTTCACGTTTAAAAATGAACAATTAAATGAACATTAGTATTGCAACTGTTAATTTGTAACTTGTATTGTAATTCAAATGTATTTTAAATAATTGTCAAATATTAAGTTTTATTCCTTTTAATAAAAAATGTAATATATTTTACTATATATTAAGCAGTAATTCTGTCTTTAATCTTTTATATTTAGAGTTAACAACAACAATAATAATATAAAAGCAATTAAGAATGATAATATAAAAACATTCTTTTTGCCTGTTTTCAGCAACAGAATTTAAGATGCATTCTTATCAAATCGCAAACTAAAATAAAACACATACTAAAAAGATTACATATTTTATTTGTTTACCTGAATTACTTGCGAATGTGTTGTTAAATTATTAAAATATCAACATAAAATTTCAGGGGATACTTCAAGAAAATATTTTATAACAATGGAGATACTTTTATTGAGGGGAGAGTAGTGGGCCTGCACATAATAAACTGATAATGAGCTACATGTAATTTATCAATGGTCCTGCATATAAATGCAGATATAGAGATTGTAAATATGAAGTGTCTGTTCAGAGTCACCCTCTGAACCTGGAGGTACAAACTTAATTGAGAACAGAATGGTTCCTCTGCTGATAATGTCATCTGGACTTAATCTAACCTATAATACATTAAGATAAAGATTGTCATGATGAGAATCTAACGATCACAGGTTTAGTTCACTACAGATATCAGATAATCTCTGAGATGGGCTTACTCTTGGCTGGAGGTTGTGCCAGGTTGGTTGGCTCTGGTTCCAGCCCCACTGACCCAGCCTCACTTCCACCTCCCCCAGGAAGAGGTTTCTCCTCATTCTCTCCATGTGCCAGATTGACATACTCAGCACACGAGCCTGGAGGTCCAGTTTCCGCACTTTATACAGGTACAGGCAACATTTTATAGTTGAGTGGAGAAATATTTAGTACTGTAAGTTTGATAATGTATTTTAAATGCTTAGAAATAATTTGTGAAATAATAAATTAATTACAACTGACTTTCATGGTTTCATCGCAGACTGGATTTAATGCTTTCCTCTTCACTGCAGTTTTTTTTCTTACTGCGTGATGTGTTGTCAGGGAGAAGGTAAACTTTAACATATCTATTGCAAGTTTGATAATGTATTTTAAATGCTTAGAAATAATTTGTGAAATAATAAATTAATTACAACTGACTTTCATGGTTTCATCGTAGACTGGATTTAATGCTTTCCTCTTCACTGCAGTTTTTTTTCTTACTGCGTGATGTGTTGTCAGGGAGAAGGTAAACTTTAACATATCTATTGTGACGAGTGACGAACTTTGTTACATTGGTGCCGAAACCCGGGAGGAAGGAGGGACACGCTGTCAGAGAGCCCTCGCTGCTGAGGGGGGTCGCGGTGCTGAGGAGATCGGGCACCAGGAACAAGCGGAGAGACCGCCGGTGGCTGCCCGAGGCATAATATCATTATGTCGAGATAACGAGAAAATCAAGTCGTTATAACGAGAAAACAACTCCCGTTATGTCGAGATAACGAGAAAATTAAGTCGTTATAACGAGAAAACAAGAAGGAAAAAAATAATAATGCATGGCCGCTTAGAACTTCCGTACTACGTCCCCTGACTCTCCAACACTTTCTGGGGCGTGAAGGAAAAATTAAATGAGAAGAGTTTAGAATAATTTACTGTATATTTTGTCAACCGTAATTTATCAGATGATTTGCCTATCATTATAGTTTATTTTACCTTTAAGACAATTTTCTTCTGCTGCATTATTCTGTTCAAAGCAAGAACATTAGAAATGTCTCACATACAGTAGCACGTATTTCACAAGCATATAATATAATCTGAAATGTAAATTGACCTTTGAGATGTGTCTTGTCCTGGATTGTCTTTCAAGAGTTACCACAGGAATGGGACTAAAAAGCAAGTATCACAATATAAGACAGTGGATCATATTTAGACTAATAATTGATTACAAGTGATCTCTGCACAGAAAAAAAATCATTCAAAATTCATCTACCAACGCGCTCAGGACAGTTGGACATTGCGGTGGATCAGAGGTTAAAAATTATATAAATACTTTTCAGTTTCTTGCACAGACCGATCGTTTCGTGTCTTAAGACCTCAGTGTATAGTCATGAGCCACAGGGTTTAATTTGGTTTTGTCTGTGTATGTTTTTTTTACTCTCAAATGTGGAGCCCATTGACTGCCATTATAAGACTGATTAGACTGCAACAGTTTGAGATAAAAATATTTGTTTGTGTTCTACTGAAGAAGCAAAGTCACCTACATCTTGGATGCCCAGGGGGTAAGCAGATAAACATCACATTTAAATTTTTGGGTGAACTATCCCTTTAACTTTGAAATTGGGGACAGCAATGCTTATGTATTTTGTTCTCAATTGACTTTTTTTTTTTTAAGTTTAATTTGTGTATGCATTTTGCTTATGTCTGTTACAGTCAGTTCCAGTTTGGAGTCTCTATCATCCCACACCTACTAAACACACACTGACACACGTTCAAAGGATTATAAAAACACCAGGCAGACACAGACACTCATGCTATAGGATATACATGCATTGTTCATTGAGCCATGTAGTGACTGTTTTAGTGCTATTCCTATTTGCTAAGTCTGAAAGAACATTATCAGGAACATGTCAGAATGGACATTTAAAGTTTTGAAATTGGGGACAGCAATGCTTATGTATTTTGTTCTCAATTGACTTTTTTTTTTTTTTTAAGTTTAATTTGTGTATGCATTTTGCTTATGTCTGTTACAGTCAGTTCCAGTTTGGAGTCTCTATCATCCCACACCTACTAAACACACACTGACACACGTTCAAAGGATTATAAAAACACCAGGCAGACACAGACACTCATGCTATAGGATATACATGCATTGTTCATTGAGCCATGTAGTGACTGTTTTAGTGCTATTCCTATTTGCTAAGTCTGAAAGAACATTATCAGGAACATGTCAGAATGGACATTTAAAGTTCAAAAGTTCATCAATATCAGCATATTGCATTTCAGTTTGTCAATCCACAAGCTAAAACCTTAAATTATGTAACACCTGTTGTTTTGCAGCTGTTCACTTTTAAGAGGAAGCTACAAGTTTTTCCCTAACTTCTGTTGACTTAGATTAGGTTGAAGAAACAATTGAGTTAAAAGAACATCAGTCATAGTACTATGAGCATGATTTGTGAAAAGCAAGTTTTCCAGGTTCTAATAAAATTCTGATTTAGTAAAATAGTGAAATAATACTTTGGGGGTTGGAATGTGTTTATTTAAGGGATTTTTTTTACAAAGTAATGTTTTGCACATTTGTATCACTCCAGACTCCTACAAACATTCAAAGACCCGTACAAAAATCAGATATAAACACAATTATGCACACTCATACATGCACACACCTCTCAGACAAACATCTAAAGTAAACAACATCACTGAGTGACACTTCACTGACAAATTCAGTATCTTTATACCCTTCCCATTTAAAATATTCAACCACAAGACACAACCAATCACAACCCTTTATCCCTGAGTCCAGCCTCATAACTCATCATGAGAGGCTGCTTCATCTGCCTTGAGTTTAAACTCATCCTCTGTGATTTGTCCATCCTTGTTGCGGTCCTGGTTATCGTACATGTTCTGTATGATGCGTTGGGGGTCAAAACCAGGTGCCAAACGACCTTTGCCCTCTTTTACCTGCTGCAGGATGTAATCTGAAAACTGTAAAGAGACAGACAGTGGAGCAATTAGCTTAATAAACATTTTGGAGATGTATTGCTAAGCACACACTCGTGGTATAAAACAATATACCTCAGTAATGTCCACTTGTGCATCTTTGTTCTTGTCCATCTCACTGAAAAGATTGGGTGAGACATCGCTGTTCCACACAAACATGTAGCCTTCAGGAAGACCTTCCTCCAGGTCCACCAACACAACATCAAACACCAGCACAGCACTGCCAGGGACCTCACCATCTGAGCAAGAAATAGTACTTAATCTCTTTTTTGTTGGAAATATGGAGGTTTGAACTATATTTATACAAACTGGTGTAGAGTTGCTGTTTTGTGGACCATCTGTACATCCCTCTTTGTTACATAATTGAAACATTAAAATAAACATTAAAATTTATGCTGTTTGATAAGACAAATGCTGAATTGGGAACCCTATATTAGCATAATACTCTTACTATTACTGCCATAGAAAGACATGGCAAAAATAGTAAGAGTAGTATACTACTCTGTGGTCAGCAAAAAACCTCCCTGAAAATCAATATATAGGCACCTAAATCGTTTGTTTAGCCAAGTAGTTTTTAGAAGAATTTACTCTGGCTCCCTCTGGTGGGTGTATCACAAACTAGTAGTTAAAGGGTTAGTTCACCCAAAAATGAAAATTAGCCCATAAGTTACTCACCCTCAAGTCATCCTAGGTGTATATGACTTTCTTCTTTCAGACGAATCCAGTCGGAGTTATATAACAAATTGTCTTTGATCTTTCAAGCTGTTTGATGCCACTCAGCAGGCATTGCAGTGCATCAGTACAAAATGAGTTAAATAAAAAGCGGCCATCCTTAATAAAAAGTGCCTCACACAGCTCCGGGGGGGGTGAACAAAGTCCTCCTGTAGCGAATCGATGCATTTTTGTAAGAAAAATAACAATATTTAAAACGTAATAATCACTTTAATCTAGCTTGCGCTCAATGTTGTATACGGAAGCAGTTCCAGGCTGATGACGTATGAGTTCGGCTTTGCGCATGCGCTGCTCAGAAGTGACGAACGCGCAAGCTACATTAAAGTGATTATTACGTTTTGAATATGGATATTTTTCTTACAAAAACGCATCGACTCGCTACAGAAGTCCTTTGTTTACCCCCCCCGGAGCCGTGTGAGACACTTTTTTTTTATGAATGGGTGCTTTTTATTCACTTCTTTTGGACTGATGCATGCAACATCCGCTGAGTGGCATTAAACAGCTTGAAAGATCAAAGACAATTTTTAAAATAACTCTGACTGGATTCATCTGAAAATAGAAAGTCATATACACCTAGGATGTCTTGAGGGTGAGTAATTTAAGGACTAATTTTCATTTTTGGATGAACACTGAATCAGTTAGATTCACTGTTCACTTTTAGTAAAATCCATTACTTTTAGTAAAATATATCTCAATGTAAAGCAAGTAGTGTACTTAAAGTTTGTGAAACACATTTGCCTATATATTATTATATTTAAATATTTTTATTTATTATGATATAATTATTTAACATAAATATGAATATATTTGTATTTTTCAAATGAATATATTGATATATATTTAAAATGTGTGTGTCTTTGAGAGGATGTCTTACCTACTCCCCTCTCTCCATAGCCAAGGTGAGGTGGAATGACTAGCCTGCGCTTCTCTCCGACACACATTCCTATAAGCCCTTGTTCCATGCCAATGACCACCTGTCCAGCCCCCAGAACCACATCGTATGTCTTACCAGAGGTTTGCCTGCAGATACACACAGACACAGTGGAAAACACAAATTAGTTAGAAACAATTTTTAAAATATAAACCATTCATTTTGATTCCCATTTCTAAGCAATAACATAATCAAATATTTGTAATGTTAAGTTAGACAACATGCCAAAACAACATGATACACAAATGTATAACTGCAACGCACGTGGAGCCGATGTAAGTGCCATCCATGAGAGTGGCATTGTAGTGGTATTTGACAAAGTCACCACGTTTTGCATTGTAGATGCATTTCTCTGGCTTCACACTGGTGATCTCAACTATATCAGATGGGTTATGGAAATCAATAATGTGGACATCAAACACCAGCACAGCTGAGCCAGGGATCTTAGTTCCTGTATGAGGAGATAGAAGAGATTAATACAAAGATAAGTTAACCTCGTGTTCTTTTGAAATAAAAGGACTGATCAGCACACACCTGTGCCCTCTTCTCCATATGCCAGGTGAGGTGGGATAACAATCCTCCTGTGCTCTCCAACACACACGCCCAGGAGTCCTTGGTCCATTCCTGCGATCACATAGCCTTTACCGATGTAAGTGTCATATGTGCGATTCCTTGAGTAACTGAAACATAAACTCAAATGTAAGCATAAATGCACTGTATATAACTTTTTAAAAAAAATCTGTTCAAATCAAGGGTTTTTACCTGGAGTCAAAGAATGTGCCATCCAACAGGGATCCATTATAATGGTAACGCATGAAGTCTCCTACTTCACTCTTGCGTGGACAGTGATCTGGAAGGCTTTGCACTTCTACTGTGATTTCATCTTTAGGGTTATGAAGGTCCAGCAGAATCACATCAAACACCAGAGAGGCTTGACCAGGGATGTCACTTCCTGTGAGTGGAGATAACTGGATGTTGTAATGCTTATTTTGCATGCACTGTTCGTATATATTACTAATAAAATGACTCTCACCATCCCCATTCTCTCCATAGCCAAGGAAAGGTGGCATGGTGACGATGCGTTTTTCTCCTACACACATTCCCAAAAGCCCCTGGTCCATTCCCGCAATGAGCCAGCCAATCCCCACGTAAGTGTCATAGGTGCGCAAACGCGTGTGACTGCAAATGAAAGAATCAGAATATGCATAAAATTCAGAAATACGTTCACTTTTAATTCTATAAAAAAAAATCATATTATAAATGTGTCAAATATTTTTTGAAAAAGGTTTTGTTTCTAACTTGTATTATTATTTTTATACTCAGTATATTACTGTTAGATGTATTAATTATGTATTTTAATCTATTTTTTTTATTTATTACTTGTAATCAATTTTTTTATTCTATTTATTGCAATCCTATTTTTTTTATTTAAATAGTTGTTTTATTTAAATAAACAAATAAACCTCTGTTACAGGCTGTCATTAATGATAGG